CTGGTCCCGCGCGCGCTTTTACCGCCCGCCCGGCGCGCGCGCCCGTCAGGCAGCGCCATCGGGGCCATGGCGGCGGCGCGCGCCCCCCGCCCCTGAGGGCACCGCCCGGGGAGGGCACCGCGCTCCCCCCGCCCCGAGCCATCCGGGAGGGCTCCGCGCCCGCAGCCGCCGGGGCATGGTGGGCAGGGTCGCCGTGGCCGCGGCGGCCGCCTCCCCGCTGCTCCCCGAGAACGACGGCGACGTTCAGGTGGGGACGCGAGCCGGGGGTCGCGCTATGAGGGCGGAGAGAGGGGGTGCGGCTGGTGAGGGGCGCCCCTTCGGCGATCGCGCCTTTCGGCGTTCTCCCCTTCGGTGTTCGCCCCTTTGGCGATCGCGCCTTTCGGCGTTCTCCCCTTCGGTGTTCGCCCCTTTGGCGATCGCGCCTTTCGGCGTTCGCCCCTTCGGTGTTTGCCCCTTTGGCGATCGCGCCTTTCGGCGTTCGCCCCGCTGCCGTTCGCCCCTGGCACGGCCCGTCCGGTGTAACCGGGGGAGCTGTGAGGAGCCGCCCGCGCCCGGCCCGCGCTCCCGGGCGCTGCTGGCGCTCGGCGCGGCCCCGCGGGCCGGGCTGTCATCASACGCATTCGAGGGACTTTGAGAAAAGGCACTTTCTGCTTCAGAGGGGGTGATTTCAGAAGAATTCAGTTCCTAATAAAGCAGGAGTTATAAAAATCTTCGTGAGCCAAAGTCTGTCTTGAACTTGTAGATGTTCTTTTATGGTTTGAATCATTATACGAGATAAGAATTCTCTTGTGTTCGTTTTCTTTAAGTATTTTGAAAGGTACAGTGTCTACTAAAGATAAGTCAGATGTTTGTGGTAGGATCTGACTTTTTTAAGTGATGTTGGAATTCCCTTTTAAACGTTCACAGACGTTCTGGGGAACATTTGAAGGTCGATCAAATAAATAAATTGACCTAGACTTTCACACTTCCAGTATTGTGAAATCTCTGCAGAGTTCTTCCAAAGACCTTATGGTCTCTTTCAGTTTTAACCGTCTCAAGGTTTTAGAACAGGATCTTTATTTTTTGTAACAGCAGAATCTTTATTTCAAGTTTAGATGGCTTTTGAAAACAAGGAGATAAGGTTGATGCATACACAGTCTGAGCACATTAACATGAATTTTTGTCTTCTGAGAAAGCACTATATAAGTTGTCTTAAACTTTGAAAAACTAAGATTCACATTGTTTTTACAGCCATGCAAGAAGCGGCGAGAGGAAGATGCGTCTGTAAAAACAATCACAAGGTATTTTTCACCATTAKCAAAACCGGTGGATAAAGCAYTRTCATCACCAAAATCCAACAATATMTTGGATTATTTTAAAAAGACATCTGAGAATGCTGCACTCCCAGTTGGAACTGGAGAAAGTAAAACACTGTTGGATGCTGATGACAAAGACTGTAAATCATCTTTCAAKCCATCTTTAAAGAGGAAGAGAAAAGGGAAGAAAGTTAATTTAAATAATAAGCTAAAAGAAATGAAAGAATCTGAGAATGACYGTGAAATAGAAATTAGTAGTGATGACAGCAGAGTAACTACAGGATTGCAACAAGACAGTAATGACTTCACTGCTACTTGTACTCTGGTGGACCAAAAACATGCAAGAGAATTAGCAGAAGATAATGTGCAAAGAGAAAACTTCTCAAATGTTGTCCCCTCCAAAAAAAATGCAAAGAACTTTGATTGTGAAACAAATGAATCAAAAAGTAGGATAAGAAAATCAAGGAAAAGGAAGCACAAAGTAAAGGTGGATTCATCTGAAAGTTTTTCATCTGAAAACCAGATGAATGAAACGTGTATAAAGGAAACTGAAGAGAAGACAAATACAGTAGCTGAGTGTGATGCTGCTATTGGTGATTCCAGTTTTGAGGCTCATACAGATGATGGGACATCCCAGGTAAATAATTGTATAATAACAGTGTCATTTGAGGACTTCTTGAGAAGTCAAGGAGAAAATAATGTTGAAGAAGACACAAAGCCAGCAATGGACACTTCTGCAGCAAATGAAGTGGACAAAAATGATAGTATTAGTGACCCAGAAAGGTGTGAGGAGACTCAACAACTGCCACTCAGAACAGTGACTGTCCTTGCACAAGTTCATTCCATTCCCCCCAAATCACCTCCATTACATAAGGGACAAAAAGGCTCTAGRAAAATAGCTTCCATTTTTTTGAAGCAGAAAGGACGTGTAGGGAAAGGAGAACGCAGCCCACCCCTCTTGGACAGTGAGCAGACTGAACAGGTGACTCAGAAAAGAAAATCCAATGTAGTTATTGAGGAAGAAGAATTGGAGCTGGCTGTACTAGAGACTACAGGATCAGATTCTCTGAAGCCAAAATGTACTGTGGARGAAAAGCATCAGTTTATGAAAGCGTTTAGACAACCAACACCAGATGGAACAAAAAGTGGAGTTAAAAAGGCATTGGGAAAACAAAAGCAAGCTCCTGCGAAGTCTTCAAAAGAAAAAGAAGCATCTGAAGATGTCATTCCTTCAAATAAAGGGTTAGAAAGTGGGATACCAGAAGATCATGAGGACAAATACAYACATTCTAGACCTAAAAGCAATAGAACTAAACCCAGAAGATCTAGGAAGGTTCAGAAAMAAGGAAATGGGAGAAGGAAGGAAACTAAGGAAACTGATGTCTCAAACACTAGTAATTGYAATGGAGAAGAGGATTCAGGTGCTAATGTTCTTACTGTGGAAAACACCTTAGATGTAATCATTACATCAAGTCCAAAAGSAAGTGAGTTAAGGAGGAGTTTAAGGCAGCAGAAAACCCAAACATCAACAAATACTACACCTAAAAAGCAAAGGGCTAGAAGTGCCTGTTCTGCAGATGAATTAAGAGGCTGCCCATTAGAGACTTCCACCCCAAAAGCACGCAGACAATCCTGCAACAAAAGCAACATGTACAGAGCTGAGGTGATTACCATGCCCTTTGATGGAAACAGCCCTATAAGGTAAACATTTTAAAATGTGTTCTGCCTTTTTGCCTTTAATTATATGCAAGTATTTTGAAAATAAGTCATAATTATAAGTGGATTCTATACCAAAGTTGCATGGATACTGATCATGGTGGGTAAAATAGAGAGCTAAAGCTGACTATAAATGTCTTTGCACTAAAGRTAGCAAAAAAACCCAACCAAGCAACTAAAAATCAACCCAACCACCAGTTGGGTTGCTTCCATTTACAGCATTGTATTTTTGAAAGCTTTTGAAATGAGATTGAGAGTAACATTTCCCTTTATTAAACAGTAATAATTTCCTAATACTTTTTTTCCTTAATTAGAATGAGGTTTACACGTATCAATGCAGCTACCAAATCAAATAAAGCTGAAGCAATGAAAAATGAAGAGTCTCGCTCCAAAAATACAAAGGTAATTCATGTCACAATTGATGTCAGTATTTTGTCATTTCCTATATGTGTGTAATTGTGGTCTATTCAGTATTTTTTAATAATCGAATGTAATGCAGTATGATGGTTCTCAGCTGCTAAGTGTAAAAAAAATATACTCTGATTTATGATAGAATTTGAGATTGTTTCTTGTACATTAGATCTTAAAAAATGTTTTATTAGTAAAAATCCACCTTTCACAAGAGAAAAATCCTGTAAAATAGCATGCTCCTGTGCTGCAGGTTCTCAGGGTGGGATATAGAAACGACTGGAAGTGGTGCTTAGTGCTGTGGTTTAGTTGGCACGATGATAATTGGTCAGAGGTTGAACTTSATGATCTCAGAGGTCTTTTCCCAACCTAAATGATCCAGTGATTTGTGATAGTGTTTGGGCACAGCAGAACAGCTGATGCYTAAGGATGTCACTGCCCATATTTCATTTGTTCCATGGCAAACTGAGGGTCCCCTTGCAGGGCTCTCACTCCCTTTTGAATACTGCTGATATCATCTTGGTTTGCTTCTCATTTGAATTATTTCATTTTCTTCTTGATACCAATGAAATTTTGCAACAATTACATACTCTTATGAAAGTGAAGAACTATGTGCAAAGTATTTAGTGAAGATAGTGCTGTTAATTGCTATTTTGGTTCTTTTGTTCTTTGTTAACAGATAAACTCCACTTCTAAAAACATTTCCAAAGCAAAGCAGCTGATTGAAAAAGCAAARGCTATACAGCATAACAGATCAAAAGTGAACGAAGACTCAGCAGCTCCTGTGAGGCGCTCGTCTCGACAGCAAGCTCTTGCTGAGAAGAAAAAATTACAAGAAAGTGATGTAAGGCTGTACTTTTTGGGGGAGGGATATTTCTGTATATTTGTGATTGATTTAAGCAATGCAAATGATTCTTACTGGATTCTTTACAAGAAATGTTTGCAAGCTTAGGTAGACACCTGCARTGTTTTGTAAAAAAGGATAAAAAGTTGTGTTTCCTTTCTTATTTCATTTGTTTTCCCTCCAGGAATCGGTAATAATTTTAGATATAAGTATGGATAGTGTTACTACTACAGAGCAGAATGTGAAGGAAAAGAAACTTCGGAGCTTAAATGATGTTTTGGGGAAGAAGTCTAAAAACTTAAAGGTTGCAAAGAGCTCCAATGGTAATTGGGTTT